GTGTCTAAATGTCGACAGTGATATTTGGATAAGTGGCAAATGGTAAAACTTCAATTTTTGTCGTTACCTAAAATCAAAAAATATAATGTATTTAMGTATAATTTATWATTAGTTTTGTACATTTTTTGATATTAACTGTAAATAATAATGCATTGTACATCCGTGAAGTTATCTTCTCTTCCGCGTAGTCTTCATATTAAAATTTTTGTATGTTAGGGGGAACAAAATAACAAAGGTAGGCGAGTTAATGAAAATGATTAACTTAACTTAAGTTAAGAATATACATGATTTTAATAGTTTGGAACTTAATGTACTTAGGAGTAGACATAAACTCATAGGCAGATAGTCACGAATAAATACACAAGAGAATCACAGCTGGCAACAAATGCTATTATTCATTAGTCCAATCATTTAAATCTAAAATATTATCAAGAATRACAAAAATCAGATTATATAAGACTCTTGSAGACCTGCAATTGAATTATATGCTTGTGGAGTATGGGCGTCCACCAAATCTGACGAAAACAAATTAATTATTTTTCGAAAGGAAAATCCTACGAAGAATATTCGGACAAAAGAGAAACGACGAAGGTGGCTATGAAATAAGATCAAACAGATAGCTGAATATTCTATTTAGGAGTTATGAACGGAGCAGAATTTGCAGAACACAGAGAAGCGCGGAGAGAGATAGTAGAAGCGGCGATGAGTCTATATGGCCTAGAAGAAGCTTAAAAAAAAAATAAAAATGCCAACCTTTACACAATTATTTAACAAAAACAATAAATTAAGAATTTAAGTAACTCTTAATGGTTAGGCACATTAAAATAACTGTGAAACTCGTCTATATAATCGTTTATACATAATATTTTACCTTGAAACTAGGATACAGAAGCGTTTTTTTTGTTCTCAAATTTGTCCCTTTTGAATAACCGTCCCAATGATTTCCAGCTACTTCGATCTCGTCACCTACTTCTAGATCCATCTCATCCGGTCCGTCTGCTTTATGAGATATTAAAGCTACATT